ATGGACCAATCACAGGTAAAGAGATTGAAACAGCAATAAAAAAACCTCCCCTGAAACAAAAGTCCAGGACCATATGGCTTCTCTGGAGAATTCTAACATTCAAAGAAGATTGAATACCTATCCTTCACAAACTATTCCAAAAATTTGAAGACAGAATCCTTCCTAACTCATTCTATGAGGCCAACATTACCATGATCCCAAAGCCAAACAAGGACAACACAAAGAAGGAAAATTACAGTCCAATATTGCTAATGAACATAGATGCAAAAGTCCCCAACAAAATACTGGCAAACTGAATAGGGCAATATATTAAAAGGATCATATATCATGATCAAGCGGGATTTATATGAGGGACACAGGGAGGGTTCAACATCCACAAATCAATCAATGTGATACACCACATTAACAAAATGAGGAATAAAAATCACGTGATCATCTCAATAGATTTAGAGAAAGCATTGGACAAGATCTAACTTCCATTTCTGATAAAAAACTGTCAAAATGAGTATAGAAGGAGGGCTCGCCTGGTGGTTTAGTGGTTAAGAATGCGTGCTCCTCTTTGGCGTCCTGGAGTTCGCAGGTTCAGATTCTGGGTGCGGACCTACACACCACTCATCAAGCCGTGCTGTGGTGGCATCCTACATACAAAATAGAGGAAGATGGGTACAGGTGTTAGCTCAGGGCCAATCTTCCTCACACACACAAAAAAATTAATATTAATAAAATTTTTAAAATAATAAATAAACAATTATAAAAATGAATATAGAAGGAAAGTACCTCAATATAATAAAGGCCATTTATGACAAATTCACATTTAACATCATACTGAATGGAGAAAAACTGACAGCCATCCCTCTGAGAACAGGAACAAGACAAGGGTGCCCACTCTCACCACTCCTATTCATCATAGTACTGGAGGTTTTGGCTAGAGCAATTAGGCAAGAAAAAGGAATAAGATGTATACAAATTGGAAAGGAAGAAGTGAAACTCTGTTTGTGGATGACGCGATCCTATATATATATAGAAAACCCTAAAGAATCCACCAGAAAACTATTGGAAATAATCGGCAACTACAGCAGAGTTGCAGGGTACAAAATCAACTTACAAAAATCTATTACATTTCTATACACTAATAATGAACTAGCAGAAAGAGAAGTCAAAAATGCAATCTCATTTACAATTGCAACAGAAAGAATAAAATATCTAGGAATAAATTTAACCAAGGAGGTGAAAGACCTATACAATGAAAACTATAAGACATTATTGAAAGAAATCAAAGAAGACTTAAAGAAATGGAAAGATATTCCATGCTCTTGGGTTGGAAGAATAACCATAGTTAAAATGTCCATATTGCCAAAAGCAATCTACAGATGGAATGCAATCCCAATCAGAATTCCAATGACATTCTTCACGGAAATAGAACAAAGAATCCTAAAATTTGTATGGAACAACAAAAGACCCCAAATAGCTAGAGCAATCCTGAGGAAAAGGAACAAAGCTGGGGATATCACAATTCCCGACTTCAAAATATAATGCAAAGCTATAGTAATCAAAACAGCATTGTACTGGCCCCAAAATAGACACAGATCAATGGAACAGAATTGAAAGCCCAGAAATAAAACCACACATCTACAGACAGCTAATCTTTGACAAAGGAGCCAAGAGCATACAATGGAGAAAGGAGAGTCTCTTCAATAAATGGTGTTCAGAAAACTGGACAGCCACAGGCAAATAATGAAAGTAGACCATTATCTTGCACCATACTAAAAAATTAACTCAAAATGGATTAAAGACTTGAATATAAGACCTGAAACCATAAAAATCCTAGAGAAAAATATAGGCGGTACACTCTTTGACATTGGTCTTAGCAGCATCTTTTTGAATACCAAGTCTACTCAGGCATGGGAAACAAAAGAAAAAATAAACCATGGCACTACATTAGACTAAAGAGCTTCTGCAAGGCAAAGGAAACCATGAACAAAATGAAAAGACAACCCACTGACTGGAAGAAAATATTTGCAAATCATATAACTGACAAGGGGTTAATTTCCAAAATATATAAAGAACTCATACAACTCAACAACAAACAAACAGCCCAATCAAAAAATGGTCAGAGGATGGGCCAGCCCTGGTTGCCTAGTGCTTAAGTTTGGTGTGCTCTGCATTGGTGGCCTGGGTTTGGTTCCCAGGCATGGACCTACACCACTCACCTGTCAGTGGCCATGCTGTGGTGGCGGCTCACATATAAAAAAATGAAGATTGGCAACAGATGTTAGCTCAGGGCAAATCTTCCTCAGCAAAAAGAAAAACGAAATGGACAGAGGATATGAACAGACATTTTTCCAAAGAAGATATACAGATGACCAATAGGCACATGAAAAGATGTTCAACATCAATAGTTATTAGGGAAATACAAGTCAAACCGGCAATGAGATATCACCTTACACCTGTCAGAATAGCTATAATTACCAAGACAAAAAATAACAGTTGTTGGAGAGGATGTGGAGAAAAGGGAACCCTCATACACTGTTGGTGGGAATGCACACTGGTACAGCCACTATGGAAAACAGTATGGAGATTCCTCAAAAAATTAAAAATAGAAATACCATATGACCCAGCCATCCCACAACTGGGCATTAATCCAAAGAACTTGAAATCAACAATGCAAAGAGATTTATGCACCCCTGTGTTCACTGCAGAATTATTCACAATAGCCATGATGTGGAAGCAGCCCAAGTGCCCATCTACAGATGAATGGATAAAGATGTGGTATATATATACAATGGAATACTACTCAGCCATATAAAAAGACAAAATCATCCCATTTGCAACAACATGGATGGACCTTGAGGGTATTATGTTAAATGAAATAACGGAGAAAGACAAACACTGCGTGATTTCACTCATATGTGGAAGATAAACAAACAGATGGATAAAGAGAACAGAGTAGTCATTACCAGAGGTGAAGGGGGTTGGGGGGGTGAAAGGGGTAAAGCTCACATATGTATCGTGTTGGATAAAAACGAGACTGTTGGTGGTGAGCACGATGCAGTCTATACAGAAACTGATAAATAATAATGTACACTTGAAATTGCACAATGTTATAAACCATTATGAACTCAATAAAATAATTTTTAGAAAGCCCCCCCAAATGTCTTGAAATCAAATGGACTGATTCTCCCACTTCTTTTCAAGATCATTTTACTTACTCTAAATCCTTTGCTTTTCATTTAATTAGAGAATAATCTGGTCTATCTCAGTAAAAAAATCTTGCTGAATTTTGATAGGAATTGTCTCAAACTTGGCATGTCAGTTTGAGGAGAACTGATAACTTTACCGTGTTGTCTTCCAATCCATGAACAGAGGGCATCTCTCCATTTATTTAGATCTTCTTTGATTTCTCTCAGAAACATGTTCTAGTTTTTTGTAGACTGCTCTGGTACATGTTTTTGTTAGATTACACCTAAGTATTTAATATTTTTTCTTTTTTAGTGATTGTAAGTGCTGTGTATTTTAAATTTTGGTTTCCATAGGTTTGTTGCTGGTATATGGAAATACAAATGATTGACTTTTATATGGTCATATTTACATTGACTGTATTGTTATTAGAGTGTTTATTCTTTTTTTCACCTTGTGCTTCACTTTGAGTATTTTCTGTTGGTCTGTCTTCCAGTTCATTAATCCTATCTGCCATTATGTCCTATGTACTGTTAATCTAGTCAGTTGATTTCTTAATATCATATAGCTTTTTCAAATTTTTTTAAAGATTTTATTTTATTTTTCCTTTTTCTCCCCAAAGCCCTCCAGTACATAGTTGTATGTTTTTAGTTGTGGGTCCTTCTAGTTGTGGCATGTGGGATGCCACCTCAGTGTGGCCTGATGAGCGGTGCTAGGTCCACGCCCAGGATTCGAACCGGTGAAACTCTGGGCTGCTGAAGCAGAGTGCTCAAACTTAACCACTTAGCCACAGGGCCAGCCCCCTTTTTCAATTTTAAAATTTCCATTTTGTTCTTTTTTATAGATATCAATTCTCTGGTGAATTTCATTTATCTATTTTTCTTCTATTTTCTTTAATAAAGTAAGCCTAATTATTTTATAATCTTTTTCTGTAAACTTTAGACGCTAGGTCATAAGTTGACCTGCATATAACATAGGAGTTTTTCTCTTTACTAGCAGAAAAATGGTCTTGCCTCTTCGTGTGTCTAGTTCTTTTTGACTCTATGGTGGACATTGTATGTAAAAGTACTACTGAGGCTCCAGACGATGTCCTGTTCCATTGGTGAGAGTTCTCCCTTCCATCTCTTGGACACATAGGGTAGAGAGCTAAACAGGTTCAGTCTGGGATGAGTCTTGGTCAGAACTAGGTTGTAATTTTGGTCTACTTCTGGTTTGTTCTTGATATTTGGGTATGGCTCTACTGGGCTATCAATTGATAGCCTGGTGGGTCTTTTTCTCATCAGCCCTAAAAGACTATGGAAAATTAAATTCTGCCCTTAAGAAATTTTAAGTCTTTCTCCTCATGGAATTTTAAATTTGTACTTACCTTGACACACTTCAGATGCTCAAATTTTTCCTTTAACTCCGGTACTTTATGAATGCTAAAATCTCTGTTCTCCACAACTATTTTCTTCAGAGGTTCAAGCCTTATTCTCAACCTCTTTCTGTGCCAGAATCAGTAAGTTGTCCCAGGTTAAAAGTGGACTAGATCCTTAAGAGCAATTCACTACATTGTGTAGGGTTTTCCCATCTTTCCTGTTCTCTTTTCAGGTAACCTCACCCTGAAGGTCTCTATTTTCTAAGCACTGCAAGACTGAGCTAGATTTCATTCTGCCTTTTTGGAAGCATTTGGTCTCATCTCATTAGCCTCTTGGTAGACTCAGAATTCAACAAATGTTTTGTGGTGAATACTAGTTGTGTATTTGAGGTACTTCACGGGTTGAATTTGTTATTCCAATGCTATACCACTGCTAAAAGTTTTGTTTCTTTGTTTTTTGCCTCAGCAGAGACACAGTTCCTGGTGCAAGACAAGTCCAGGTGCTCTGCTTGTATCCAGAATTGGAAAATACTATGAGGAGAAAGAAAAAAGCCCAAATAGCAGGAAATTTGGATTTCACCTCTTCATGATTCTCCTTATTCTGAATTTTTGGTCTCCCTTATCCTTGTTGCTTCCACAACTGTCTGTTGCTTTTAAAATATGTTTCTGTTTTTCTATGGGCTTTGCTAGATGTTTTCAGAAGGAATGTCAGCCTACAGCAATGTAATACATTCTTCCATGAGGAGACGTGTGTTAATGTTTTTACAAAATATTATTAGTTTTAATTTTACAAAGAATTAATAACGTAGTCTGTTTTAAAAAGTTAGCTATTTAGACCATCTCTCTCTCTTTCTCTTTCTATGTTTTTGTGTATATATTGTATAATACAGTACTATAGCATTTTGGGAGAAATTTTAATTATGCAAATATGATATAGCATTTTCTATTATATATATAACACTGTACAATACTAATAAATTCTCACATTATGCACAAAATTCAAAACAATGCAATTCCTCCCCAAATTTTCAAAGTTGTCAGGAATTGCAGAAGTTCAAAAACTGCCATGACAAGTGAGTTGGAGGCCGTGTTTATGGTAGTGTTATTCAGTGTTGCCCTTCAGCAAAATTTAGCTCTCTCATTTTTCCCTTGGAAATGAACCACACTTATATTAATGTGCTTCATAACATTTGTTAATGATCTGGTGAAATTTGCTATTATTTTATATTTAATACATTTTCAGTTATTTGACCCTCATAAACAAATATAACATTGTCACCCATGCATTGATATCTAGTTTTAGTGTACTAACTTTAGTGGAATTTTGATAATCAAAAGAAGATTAAACCTCAAACGCATGCACTGTGCACATACTCTGGTAGAGAACAGTATGTGAAATAGTAAAGGTAATGCTGAGAAAATAAAAAGCAGCATTAAAGCAGAAATCATCCAAAGTTGATGTAATGGTATGCTCTTTTTGAATGCTTCCTCTCTAATTTATTTTTATTCCTGTGAGAAAATTAGTCTTGAAATATGTCTGAAGGAGTTCTGCCAATTTCTCATGCCAAATCTTTCATGTATAGTTATCTGTTCTCGTATGTAAATAGGATTTTACATCTTGATATCTTTCTTTTAGGAAAAATATGAAAATCATCTTAAAGGGTTTTATATAACCTGCATTTTTAATTTCACCTTATATTGTGACTATCTTCCCATTTGAGAAAGTATACCTTTGTATTGCCATTTATAATTTCACCCAATAAACCACACTGCAAGTGGCCGTGTAGATTGGTACCATCTTCTTGCTGTTATGATTTAAATTGTCAGGTACATCTTTAAGATATTATTTCCTTAGTAAATTGCCTAAAATGGAACTTCTAGACTAAATGACATGCTTATTTTATTATAGTCTGTCTCTAGGTAGAGTTTCTACAATAGCACTATCCAATATAACTTTTCTCAGTGAAGGAAATGTTCTGTGTCTGCACTGTCCAATATGTCAGGAGCTACATGTAGGGTTGAGCACTTGAAATATAGTTATTGTGACTGAGAAACTGAATTTTAATTTAATTATATTTAAACAGCCACATTTGACTAGTGTCTACTATATTGAAGAGCACAGCTCTAGAATGTTTCTATAAATTACCCTCTCAATAAAGGTGAATGCAAAGGATCAGTTTCTCCAGCCCACAGCAACTGTGGATATTCTTACTTTTCAAAAGCTTTTACATTCTTAGATACCTTGTTTTTTCTCAATGTTTCCAATTCTTTTACTTTTTTTAAAGTCACTGTCTTTTTTATTTTTATTTTTTGAAGATTGGCCCTGAGCCAGCATCTATTGCCAATCTTTCTCTTTTTTTTTTTTCTCCTGAAAGCCCCCCAGTACCTAGTTGTAGGTTCTTGTAGTTCCTCTGTGTGGGACGTCACTTCAGCGTGGCTTGATGAGCAGTGCTAGGTCTGCACCCAGGATCTGAATCGGGGAACCCTGGGCCACCCAAGCAAAGTATGCGAACTTAACCACTTGGCCACAGGACTGCTCCCAACTCTTTTACTTTCTTAATCAGCCTTGTAGTATTTGTTTTTCTTTTATATTTTCTTAATTGATTGTCTTTAGCATCTTTATATTGTAGTGTTGAACTTTCTATTGATTTGTTTATGTTTACAAATTCAGATAGTAAATCTTTGTCTCTCAAATATGTAATGAGTATATTCTCAAGTTTATTAAACTTTTTCACCTAAAAGTAAGATTTAAAATTTTCTGTACTAAAATTGATCAGTCGATATCTAGGACTCCAGCTCTCAGTGTTATCCATCCAAAGATACTAGGTTTTATGGGGAAAAATGATACCTGTCTTTGTTTTAAGAATTTAGTAATTTTTTTCTCAACTCTTTTTTATGAGCATTTTGAAAGATGCTCATAAAGATGAAGAAAAGATGAAAGAATAATATGATGAGCACCTAGATATCCTCTGTTTAGATTGAACACATCAAATTTTTGCTAAATTTGCTTCATGTAGCTGTGTGCAGTTTTTTGTTGTTGTTGTTAAACCATTTGGAATTAATGTTTTGATATCTGACACTTTGTGAATAAATCTGTCAGGATCTGCTAGGAATAAGGAAATTCTCCAATATAACCAGAATTCCATTATCACACATACAAAAGTTAACAACAATTCCATATTGTGTAATCTAATATTCAGCCCAAATTAAAATTTTCCCAATTGTCCAACGAATGTTCTATACCTGATATTGTATGAACCAAGATTCTATCAAGGTTAATTCATTGCTTTTGATTTTTATGTCTATTTATTTTAATTGAGCACTATTCTATTCACTATTTTTTTCCCCTTAACATTGACTTTTTTTCCCTTCCCCAATGCCCCAGTGCATGAGGCTTATCCTAGTTGTAAGTCCTTCTTGCTCTTTTATGTGAACCACCACCACAGCATGGCAACTGACTGACGGGTGGTGTGGTTGTGTGACTGGGAAACAAACCTGGGCCACTGAAGTGGTGAGTGCACCAAACTTGAACCACTAGGCCATCAGGAGTGGCTCCAATGTTTTAAGGAGTCCAGGCCAGTGACTTGTCTAATGTTTCAGATTCTGTAATGGATTAATTTCTCAGGTGTCATTTAATTTAAAAAAACTATTTCCCGTGTTGTGTGTAAACTGGAAGTTAAGTAAAGAGTAGATTAAATTCAGGTTGAAAAGGTTTTGTGCCATGTACTCAATATTGTATCACATCAGGAGATATATCATGTCAAGTTGTCCCCTTCTTGGTGATGATGAGTTAGGTCACTCAGAGTTGCAGCCACTGGAACACTCCATTGTTAAGGCATAGTTTTCTCCCTGCAGTTAGTGTGCGATCTGTAGTATTGCATGGTAATTATGGGCAGTATTAAGGCACCATGTGCTTATCATGTTTAGCAGGAATTGTTCACATCTACATTTTAGCACCTACTGATGTTTGTTCAGTTATTATACTGGGGTTTGCAGAGTGGTTATTTTCCTAATCCGTTATTTGATCTACATTGATTAACTGGCATCCTACTGTAAGACCTCCCCCCTCCTTCTTTTTTTAAAACTAACTTTTTTCTTTTGAGGAAATTGTAGATTAACATGCAGTTGTAAGAAGTAATACAGAGAAATTCCATGTACCTTTTACACAGTTCCCCCCAATGTACCATTTTGCAAAAACTGTAGTAAAATACCGCTGCTAGACATTGACCTCTGTACAGTCAAGATTCAGACCATTTCCGTCACCGCCAGGATCCCTCATGTTGCTCTTTTATAGCCACACCCACTTCTCTCCTCAACCCCAGCTCTTCCTTAAACCCTAGCAACCTCTAATCTCTTCTCCATTTCTATAATTTTGTCATCTTGAGAATGTTACATAAGTGGAATCATACAATATGAAACTTTTTGAGATTGGCCTTTTTATTTTTCATTCAGCGTAAATTCTTTGGAGATCCACCAAGTTGCTGTGTGTCAATAGTTCATTGCTTTTATTGCTGAGGAGTCTTCCATGATATGGATGTACTGCAGATTAACCATTTACCTGTTGAAGGACATCTGGTTTTTTTCCAGTCTTTGGCAATTGTGAATAAGGTTGTTATAGACATTTGAATATAGATTTTTGTGTGAACATAATTTTTAATTTCTCTGGGATAAATGCCAGGAGTACAATCACCGGGTTGTTTTGTGGCTGCATATATTTAGTTTTAAAGAAACTGCCAAACTGTTTTCCAGATTGGCTGTATCCTTTTGCATTACCATCGGCAATATGTGAGTGATCCACTTTGTCTATATCCACACCAACATTTGGCGTTGTCACTGTTTTCTTTTTCTGATTGATTGATTTATTTAAAAGTTGGCACCTGAGCTAACATCTGTTGCCAATCTTCTTTTTTTTTCTTTTTTTCTTCTCCCCAAAGCACCCCCCCGCCGCCACTACATAGTTGAATATTCTAGTTGTGAGTGCCTCTGGTTGTGCTATGTGGGACGGCACCTCAGCATGGCTTGATGAGCAGTGCCATGTCTATCCTCAGGATCCAAACTGGTGAAACCCTGGGCTGCTGAAGCAAAGAACGTGAACTTAAGCACTCAGCCATAGAGCTGGCCCCTCTGATTTATTTTTTTTACTTACTGGTTATACATCATTTCTGTTGGAAACTTTGATTGCTTATTTTTTAAATAAATTTATTCAGATATAATTAATATATCATAAAACCCACCACTTTAAAGTAAGCAATTCAGTGGTTTTTAGTATATTCACAGAGTTATGCAATCATTGCCACTATCTAATTTTAGAACATTTTCATTACCCTTAAAAGAAAGTCTACCCCCATCAGTCATTTCACACTCCCTCCTTTCCCACCCCTACTCTGGCAACCACATTTACTTCCTGCATCTATAGATTTGCCTATTGTAGACATTTCATATAAATGGAAATATACAATATGTGACCTTTTGTGTATGCGTTCTTTCACTTGGTATAATGTTTTCAAGGTTCAATCATTTTGTAGCATATACCAGTACTTCATTCATTTTTATGGCTGAATAATATTTCATTGTATGGATGTACTACATTTTATTTACCCTTTCATTATTTTATGGACATTTGACTTATTTCTACTTTTTGGCTATTACCAATAATGCTGCTGTGAATATTAATGTAGAAGTTTTTGTGTGGGCTTATGTTTCTCATTATTTTTTTGTTTTAGCTATTCTGATAGGTGTGTAGTGATATCACATTGTAGTTTAGATTTCTGTTTCCCTAATGGCTAATGATGGCGAATATCTTTTCTTGTGCTTATCAGCCATCTGTATCTGTATCTGTTTGGTGAAATATTTTTTCATCTCTTTTGACGATTTTCTAATTGGATTGTTTACTTTTTTACTGTTGGGTTTTGAGAGTTCTTTATATATTCTACATGATAGTCCTTTGTCAGATATCTTGTTTGCAAATATTTTCTACCAGTGAGCAGCTTTTTTTAAATTCCAGCTTTATTGGGATATAATTAACATATACCATAAAATTCAACCTGTGAAAGTGAATTTCTGTCTTTAGCAGAGTAAAAGTTTTTGATTTTGATGAAGTTCAATTTATAAGTTTTTTCATTTATGAATAGTGCTTTTGGTGTTAACTCTAAGAACTTTTTCCTATTACCAGATCTTGATTTTCTTCTGCATTCTTCCCTAAAACTTTTGTAGTTTTACATTAAATCTGTGCTCTATTTTGCGTTAATTTTTGTTTAAGTGGTAAGACATAAGTCAAGGTTCATTTTTGGCCTATGAGTGTCCAATTGGTTCAGCACCATTTGTCGAAAAGGCTGTTCTTCTTGCATTGAATTAATTTTGCATCATTATCAAAAATCAATTAAGCTTATTAGTGGTTCTCTATTTTGTTATATTAATCTCTGTATCTATCCTTCTGCCAATACTACACTGTCTTGATAACTATAACTATAAAATACGTTGTGGAACGTGATTTCTCCCATTCTTTTCTTTTTCAATGTTTTAGTTCCTTAGGAGATTCTTCTGTCTTTTAGCTTTTCTGTCTTTCCATATAAATTTTAGAATAATCTTGTCTATATCTACAAAAGATCTGGCTGGGATTTTTATAGGAATTGCATTAAACCTGTATATCAATTTGGGGAGAATTGACGTCTTTATTGTAATGAGTCTTCTAATCCATGAACATGTTTTCTTTCTCCATTTGTTTAGATCGTTGAATTCTTTAGTCAATCTTTTGTAATTTTCTAGATACAAGTCCTGTGTATGTTTTGTTAGAT